AAAGTTATTGGGTACAGTAATTCTTTAGCACAAGCAGTACTCCTCCCCCATACCTTAGAGCTTCCAGTCTATTATTTCATCTATTCTAAACGTAAAATGAAAAAGTTCATTTTAAATTAGCTTGATTCTGAATCCCAGCCACTACTAAACCATAAGAATGGTTACAAAAAGATTTAGGAAGAGTTTTTAATTAGTGGCAAATACATGGGGTTTCACAGTGGCCAGGCCCTGGTTCCTGCCCTGGCTTTATAGGTGGCTGGCTGGCTGGTGGCTTGTAGCTGGTCTTTCTCTGTAGGCCTGAGCTACAGTGTGGGGATGATGCGCTCACCCCAGCTGCTAGAGTGCTGACAGCCCAGCCAAGAGTTACATTCTACCAAGTGCTCCTTCCAGAGCTCTCCCTACTGGAAGACACAGAAGAGCTTATACCACATCCCTGATTGAAAATCATTAATGAATCAACCATAGGTTTTGTCTACTTAAAAAACTGAAGATCGGGTATAATGTGACTTTTTTAGTTATTTCATTTCCTGTTCACTGTTGCTGTTGACATGTTGTTTTACCCAATACTATTTGCTTGGTAAAGATATTTTGGACATGGGAAGGAAGAAAAAGAGGCTTCCTCCCAAGGATGACCAGGACAAACAGAACTGTTAGGGCAGCGGGTCTTATGTCATTGGTTAATGCAAGCCTTCATACTTGGTACTTTCACAGTAAGTGTAGCGGAACTACCCAAAGCCTGCCAATGTTCATGCTTTACAAACCAGCAGGCTTCATTGCCCTTACTTGTCTTTAATTGCTCAGTTTTAAAATCTAAAACTCCTTATTTGTGGTGTACATATTTACTGATGTCAACCCAGGTCGCCATATCCAAAGTCTGATATTCACCACCTATTTCTGTTCCTTTAAGCAGTCACTTTGCTGATGATTAGGATTTGTACAGTAGTCCAACAGCCATATAAGGAGCTGTTTAGTTTATTAAGAACTAAATTCCCACCCTACCACTTTCCCCCTCTAGAGGGTAGAACCATAAGCCCTGTCCAACTGCAATGTGATGGTTTTGTAAATAATTCCATTGTTTTTGGTAACTGAGGAAGAAGAATAAAGGCCACACTGTAATAGGGAGATATGTATGTTGCTTTCCACTAGATGGAGGTGTGAGATAACCAGATGTAGGAAAGAATCTTTTATAGCTGCAATAAAATATGCTAATTCTTTGCAGACTTTTACCAAATAAAGTTTCCTGACCATTGTGTGTATGGGGAAAACCTTGTGCCTGACCATCCCCATATCTCACCCTCTTTGCCTTCTCTTTCCCCTCCCCTCCCTCATCTGCCCCTCCTTCCCGCTCTTATTCTTCCCCGTCTCTGAACCTAATATTGTCGGTTTATGAACTAGAGTTTTAAGAAAGCTTGAGATAACAAAAATGATTTTTTAACAATATGTCATTTGGCAAAAGTTCATTTAATTTTTTTTTTTTCGGTCTTTTTGAAACAGGGTCTCCCTGAAGCCCCAGCTGTCCTGGAACTCACTATGCAGACCAGGCTGGCCTTGAACTCACAGAGATCTGCCTGCCTCTGCCTCCAAAGTGCTGGGACTACAGGCATGTGCCACCATGCCAGGCTTCATTTAACTTTTTAGCTCTTTGTTTTTTATGCTTCTGGCATAGAGAAACCCCATGATTTATATTAATTTTAAATCAGGAAACCTTTAACTCTTCTTCATGTTAATGCTTCATGCCTCTGTGCAGCCAGTCACAGCATCTGTGAATAGCTACAGTGCATTTTCTTTCTTTCTGGTGAATCCTTTAACTTGTGTTTCTTTTCTTTTTCTCACTGCTCTGGATAATACCTACAGGACAATATGAATAGAATTGGAGCTAGCAAGGTTAGTTTCTTGTTTCAGACTTTAAAATTAATGTACTGAGTGTCTGCTCAGTGTTTGGTAGACTGGGGTTGACTGTTTTGTTTTTTTGTGTTTGTTTTTTCTGCCCAGGGAAGCTTTCTGGGATCTCCCTAGTTCTTATGATGAGGTCACTAAACCAGTTGTGATCATCAGAGATGGTGAAGTATTTCAGGTGCCCTTTCTGCATCTTATGAAAAGCAAATATTCACTGATTGGATTCTACTGTTACCCTTATTTTCATTTCTTATGATTTAGAGGTTTTTTTTCATAATTCCCTGGGTAGAATATGCCATAATTGTCTTTTTTTTTTTTCTTTTTCCTTTCCAATATGGGTATTTAAGCTCAAAGTTGCTTGGTTGGTTGGTTGGTTGGTTGGTTGGTTTGAGAATGATCTCCCTGTAGCCCCAGCTGGCCTGGAACTTGCTATGTAGACCAGGCAGACCTTTATTTCATAGAGATCTACCTTCCTCTGCCTCCCTGAGTTCTGAGAGTAAAGGTGTGCACTTAAGCCCTAAAGTTATTTTGCTAGTGACCTAGGTAATTTAGCACACAGGCTTAATAACATGTAATGCTAATTTGCATCTCTAGTATCCTCCTGAGCAATCTGTGTTGTAGAATGATTTTTTTAAATGCTCAGATCCAGTGCCCTGTATTTCCATTCCAATTTTCAATTTTTTTTATCTGTTTTTATTTTATGTGTATGAGTGTTTTGCCTACATGTAAGTGCACAATGTGTGGCAATGCCCATTGAGGTCAGAAGAGAGAGACAGAGTGGAACTAGAGTTAGAGACTGTTGTTAGCTGCTATGTGTGTGCTGGGAACTGAACTCAGGTCCTCTGCAAGAGCAGCTAGTGCTCTTAGCCACTGGGCCATCTCTCCAGCCCTCCCAATTTAAAATTTTAATACCACAGAGTTCCTCTACTCCTCTTCCTTGTCTGTCACATTTTCCAGTTTGAGCCACTGCCAGGCATCTCTGGACTCCCTGACCTTTCATGCCACACTTTCCCTGAGAGGCAAAGCTGTTCAATCTAACTCATATACATTAATGCCTGTATATAAGTGCACCCGTGTCATGCAATGCCCACAGAGGCCAGAAGAGGGCATCAGATCCCCTGGAACTGGAGTTATGGACCGTTGATAGCCACCATGGGTGGTGGGAATTGTACCTGGGTCCTCTGCAAGAGGGACCAGCTCCCCCAGAATAGTTTTTAACACTAATTTGTGTTCTACTGTCTAACTTGATACTGTTTGCCTACGTCACAAGCAATCCAAACACCTTACCAACTGGTCCTATCCCTTACCTCAAATCTATTTCTTTTTTGCATTTTTACATTAGTAAATTAAACATTCCTTTTACCAACTTTTTTGTTCCCAAAATCTGTGCTTTGAGAATATATCACTATGCCCAAATAGCAACCACAAAGCTTAGTTAGATTTGCATTTAAGAAGATCTGAAATCTCTTCCTTTTTGTCTCCATTGACAAATGGCCTAGTCCAAGCTATATAGCACATCTTACCTGGATCACAGGAATGACCACCAACATATGAATTACATTTACGAAGTAGTCACCATGTCCCTGCTACTAAGCCCATGCCACAACAAACTCAGTGCACAATTAGCATGTCTGTGGTGTCCCTACTTTCAAGTGTGTTCTGTCTCTAACCCAGTCTGTACATGGTAGGTTGGGAGACATTTCAAACAATAGATCTGATCCTGTTACTGCACTGCCTATGATTCAGTGCCTCCTAATTGCTATTATAAAGAAGGCTAAACTCCAATGATGTGTCTGCAAGGCTCCCCAGCCTGTGACCCGTCGCCACTCACTTGCCTCACTGCAGTTACATCGGCTGTCTCTGGTGTGGGCCTCTGGGAATATCTTTCTCCAGATATCTCTCAGTGGTTCGGGCCCACTGCAGATATTCCTGTTCCTGTTCACATGCTCCATTCATTTTGCTTCTTCTTTCCCCCAAACACAAATACACACCCCACACCTATGGTCTATGCATCCTTCAGCCCTGAACTTAAATATCGCTTTGTTATGGGATCCTTTCCTTAGCAGGTCCAGGTCAGAATCATACCCTGTCAGGGTAGCTGTTTTTCCTTCCTAATGTAAATGTAATTAAAAAGTGTGTGTGTGTGTGTGTGTGTGTGTGTGTGTGTGTGTGTATGATTATTTAATGTCTGTCTTCTTACCAGACAGTAGATTTTAGAAGGTCAAAGATTAGACTTGTGTTTTTCATCATGTCGTGGTATCAAGCATGTTGCTTGACATATGGGCACACATGTAGGTTGCATGAGTGAATCTCTGTCTACATGTCTGATGCTAGAGAGATTGGTGGAAGAAGGTTATGTCCTTAAATTCTAAGAAACACCATGAGGGCAGAAGAATTGTCATTCATTTATCATTTTGTTTAGTTTGTTTTGTTCTGAGGTGATATTATGTAGCGCTGGCGAGCCTGGAACTCGAATTGTAGACTGGGCCGTTTTCCTTTTTTGTACATAAGTGAGCACGTGGTAGATGGTGAATAAGTGTTTTAAGAGAAAGAAATACAGAGAAAGAAGAAAAGGAGAGAATGAAAAAAATATGAAAAGGGAGAAGGAATGGAAAGGAAAAGAAATTGAAGATGGAATGGTAAAAGAAATTGAGAAAGGCTATCAACCTAAATGCAGTATAGGCTGTTATGGAAAAAGTTAGATGACTCTTCCTCTCACATGGAAAAAAGAAGCCTTGGGGAAAGGCCATGAATTAGTAACAGGTAAGAAATGAAATGCACACTATCTGACTGTGATAGTTTTGGGTGGTTTTGTGTATTTACATGGTGAGAGACTGAGCAACAGCAAATGTCTTCAGACATGCCCCCCTTGGGCACGCACCTTTTCATTAGAACCTAAGTTTTCAGTCTTATAAAGCAAGGGTATGTTTTCATGCTTCCTTTTGCTAAAGTTTATGAATATTCATTCCTCCCCTAGGAAAGAAAGAACTTGCGTTTACATACTATTATATAAAACATGTTTTAAAGTATTTTACAAACTGCACATGCTTAATTATCATTGATTAGATGTAATCAGTCATTTTCTGCTTTTTTGCACATTCTAGAAAAATATGCCGTAATTGCAAATGTGGGCAAGAAGAGCACGATGTCCTCCTGAGCAACGAAGAGGATCGAAAAGTGGGGAAGCTCTTTGAAGACACCAAGTACACCACCCTGATTGCAAAACTCAAGTCAGATGGCATTCCCATGTATAAACGCAATGTTATGATATTGACCAATCCAGTTGCTGCCAAGAAGAATGTTTCCATCAATACTGTTACCTATGAGTGGGCTCCTCCCGTCCAGAATCAGGCTTTGGTAAGTAATGAGGGAGGAGAGGTGGGCTTTTTTTTTAAAAAAAAAAAAAAAGAAGAAGAAGCATTTCATTACAGCTTTACCATACTCATTAAATTAAAAAGCTTCTGTAAATCAAAGGAGGCAACCAGGGAAGTGAACAGAAAACCCACAGAATGGGAGAAGATCTTCACCAGCGACACATCTGACAGAGGTTTAACACCCAGAATATATAACGAACTCAAAAAACGGAGAATCAAGACAAGAAGTAACCCAATTAAAAGATGGGCTAAGGAGATGAACAGAGAGTTCTCAAAGATGGCTATG